GGGCACTAGGCACACATGTGGCACACATACATGTGCATGAATACCTGCATACAAATACAGATTACATGGCTGAAGAGGTGGCTCAGCAGATCGAGCACTTACAGCTCTTCCCTACTGCTTCACCCACATCCAGCATCTTACAACCTTCTGTAACCCCAGCTCTAGGGGTCTGACACCCTTGTCTGGCCCTTTCAGACAATCCACACATGCACATGAATGAGAATTAGCCCTCACATGGGATTCTTAGAAGAGCTACAGCCTCAGGGCCTGAAGGGAAAGCAACTTCAAGTCTGAGGAAGAGCTTCATAAGGAGAAGAGCAGAACAGATACAAGATAGATAGGGGGAGGGGTACTGAGGGGAAAGAGCCCCTACTTCCCTTCAGCTCCAAAGGACTAGGAAAATTACATCACTGTGCTAGTAACCCTTAATTTCCGTCAGTCCCTTAGAACAAGTTAGGTTCTCTTATTGCAGGTTTTGGGGAGTGTGGCTGGGGAAGTAAATCAGGAAGGCACTGATAAACTTCCAAGTATAATTCAAAGCCATCTGGAAAGTGGAGGGATCAGGTCTGTGGCTGCGAAGGAAGACAGAGAACGAAGAAGCAACTGAGAGCTCCAAGGTCACAGCTTGCAATCAGCTCTTCCTGGGGAACAGATTGCAGAGGAGCCTGGATATCTCTGGGAGAGAAAGCAGCTTAGAGGACCTGTGATCTAACTTCCACTTGAGTTTAAGATTATAATTTTATTTAAGTTCTTTGATTCTGTTTATTCTAAACTGAAAATTTTAAATAATGTTTCTATAGGATATATGCAATTATTTTAAACTAAATTATTAACAAGACTGCTGATTAAAATTTGTTTTGCTAGTATATATACTTTTCCTATTAAAGACAGTTTAAATATGATATATTAATTTCTGACTGTGCTATGACACTAATTTTGTATGTAAATTCAGTTCTGTTGTTTCTAGGAGTTGGTGGTTCTAGTGAGTTCATTTTGCTCACGTAAATCCCTTGAGTGGTTTTGTTGTCAGAAATCTAGAATAGGCTACATCTACTCCCTAGAGGCACAGCTGGCTCTGCCAGCACTCCCTACCGCCAGCATCAGGATCATTTACTCTTTTGCTCATTAAATAGTCACATATGAAGCCTTTCGTGTCATTTTTTAATTTTTGCAGTTTGTTTTTGTGATTGAGTGCTAGAAGTGGGATTGCTACTTACCTGTTTGGGTGTGGGGTTTTGTATCCAGTGCATGGGCCAGGCAGGTGTCCACCCCCAAGAACAGAAGAGACTGGTATTAAACTTGGATTTAGACCAGTGATAAGTGGGAAATGAGTGCTGTGGGTTTGTATTTCTCTTATGATTTTTTTTTTTTAATTCTTGACGCAATAAAGGAGCTCACAAACTACTTTGAATTAGGAATATTAATCGTAATTGCCTTGCTTTCAAATTACAATTTTTTATTCAGGTAAAATGCATGTTAACACAAAACTCAACATTTTAGTCATTTTTAGTATAGAACTCAGTTTCACTCAGTACGTATTTCCTGGGTTTTATGCCGGCCTTTGCTCTGCCGGCCATTGGTCTCGGTGCAGAGGACATAATGAAGATCTCCAGGCATGAGAGGACACTTTTTTTTTCAGACTGAACTTTGTAGGCATTTAGTTAGACAGTCCGACCCCAGTTATCCACACCCCTGACCTCCCAGCTTCCTCGATTTGTGCTAGTGCCATAGGGTTGAATGCGAGCAGTTAGGACTAATCTCTCCCATTTGTCTTCACCGGGGGTTGGAGTGGTTCCTACCACATGTGCTGGCTCACCCTCTCTTGAGTGTGTGTGTACTCTCTCTCCTACCCCCTCCTTTATGAATTCTATACCTTGTTTTAATTAAGGTAGAAAAGATCCTGCTTTATAAGGAATACATCAGGTTTGTAGGAGTGCCCACCTGCAGGGCTGTCCTGTCAGAGGGTTCTCTGCCAGCCTGTTCTGCCCTACCCGTGTCTTTAAGGGGTTTTTAAAGCTTGCCTCATATAGGCGTTCACAGTTTTTGTTCCATTTATGTCTCCAACTTTCATCTTTTTGTTGTAATGTGTCATGTTCCCATTGTGTCCTCTAACTAAATGTGCATACTGATCTCTGTGCCACTTTAAGCCCTTTTCTGAGTTGAGCATTTACTTTGTGTTGGAAATAACCCAAAGGATTTGATCCAAGGACAGAAGGCTGGAAAGACAAGACCACCCACACATCAGCAGTGCTTTTTCTCTCTTTCCTTCCTTCCCTGCTTCCTTCCACCTGCTGTCCACCAGGCAGCAAATACCAAGACCACACCGGGAGATGGATTCCACCCTGCGTTCTTGGGGTTGGAAACATGGGGTAAGCAGCTAGGGCTTCATAGGAAGGAAGGAGCCAAGAAAGCAGCAGGGCCTAGAGGTGGATGGCAAGCAAGTGTGAGGTAAAGACAGGCCAATGAGGGGGCTTTAGGGCCTCTAACACTGAAACCTTGCAGATCTATGGAATTCTTGCCTCATTAGGAAGTTAGACAGCTAGAAGATGTCTCCGTTCTCAGTCCCAACTTTATTATATAGCAAGGAAAACTAAGGCTGAGAGGCTGGGTATCCACCTTCCAGCACTGCCCTAAAGCCTGAGCAGGAGTCACTGAACCGGGGAATATCCCTGCATTAGGAAGCAGTGGGTCCTACCTGGAGCGCCAGCATTACAGTGAGGTTGGCCTAGAGGCAGATACATGAAAGGCTTGAAGTGCTAGAGCTGACACCTAAGGGGTGGTGAAGTAATCTGGCAAAAGTGGGGAGCAGGGAGCTACCAGACAGCCTCTTCCAACGTTCATACTCACTAGGTCTTTGAGTCTCTTCGTCATTATGTTGCCAGCTAAACTAGATGTGGGGGTGTACTCAGGAAGCTGAGGCAGGAGGATCTTTGTGAGTCTGAGGCTAGCCTAGTCTACATATTGAGTTCTAGGACAGCCAGGACTAAACAGAAAGACTATTCTCAAAAACACAACAAAAATCTCTAGATAATTCACAGTGACTACCAGGCCTATGCGCCAGCCAGCCAGTCTTGGAACTCATCTGCTTGGTGAGTCATGTCAACAATTCAGCCTGACCCAACTCATTTCTCCCACCCTTGATAGCCATTTCCACACATTTCCCATCACTTTGCATAAATAAGAAAGTAAAAATTCACACCTTTAACCCCAGCACTTGGCAATCAGAGGCAGAGAGATCTGAGTTCACAGAGCAAGTTTTGGGACAGCCAGGGCTGCACGGATAAACTCTCTCAAAAAAACAAAGAAACCAGGTTAGGTGGTACACACCTGTAATCCCAGCACTCAGGGAGGCAGGCAGATCTCTGTAAGTTTGAGGCTAGCCTGGTCTACAAAGTGAGTCCAGGACAGTCAAGGCTACTGAGAGAAACCGTCTTGAGAAACCAGGAAAAAAAAAAAAAAAAAAAAAAGTAAAAATTCTTCAGAGACAATGCACTTCCTGTCCCCTCCTCTCTGGGGTCCTATGGGACTTGTGTCCTGCTACAGGTTCATAAACAGCACAGTAGGGGTCCTAAGAACCCCTGGGAGGCCCGTACCATGCCTCCTGGTGGTTGGGCTTGCTGTCCTCAGAGGGAGAAATCTGCTGCTGTGGGAAGCTGTTTCTGTGAGCTAGGACCTCTCATTAGATCCAGTGTCCCCAGCTTCCTCAAGGCCATCTGCACAAGAGACCCTTGTGAGACCAGTTCAACCAGTGCCATGATCTAGCCACTGGTAAGGAGAGGCTCTGACTGGATGCTCAGCAACTTCAACTCTGTGGCTGAAAAAGGTAGTCTCTATTGGGGCAGGTGTAACTCTGAGGGCTTTTACAGGGTGCTATTGCTGGGAATTTGAAGCCCTGGACACCATTTTCATTCCCCATGTTGTCTAGAATAATTAGGAGTAACCTATGTGCATGGAACTCCATTTGGATAGTGTCCAGGTCAGCAGAACCTGGCCTTCCCTATGTTTTGAATATTGCCACATCACTCTCTGGACTAGCACAGGGCTCTCTGCTGTTGCACGGACTGACTGGAGAACCAATATCAGAACCCCTCCCTCTTGTGTTATCAGATCAACCTTTCATACCTCTAATGGTTTCTAAAGTGGGTCACTACAGTGGCTCAGCTTAAAGCAAATGGTTCATTGCCTCATTGCCCTCCAGGCAGAAATGAACCCTATGTGGCTACAAGGCTTCTTTTTACAGGACCTCCATCAGACTGACACAGCCTGGTAGGAGGATAAGCTGCTAGGCTAAGTCAAGTCAAAGGATGGGTCCAAGGAGACAGGAGGACAGGGCATACAGCACGTATCTCCAGCACTACAGGTCTGACTGGGGCTCCAAAACACTCCATGGCTTGATGTAGAAAACAAGCATCAAGATGTATGTACTGGATATAAGGAGCCAAGTAAATGTGTAAAAAGGAAATAAAGTCCTGAGTGAACATAGATTGTTTAACATAGCCATGGTCATGTCAGGGACCCAATGCCTCAGACCCATGGGAAGGAGAAACCTTCCTTTGGTTTGGATGAATGTTGACAATATGTGCAAGTATGAGTGTTTATGCTTTGACCAGTGTGGACTAAAATGAGTGACTGCAGCGTCCTCCTCCTGGATGATTACAGCCTGAGACTGCATCTACAGATCTCTATTAAGGTGAGCTAACCCTTCCCCTGGTGCTGTATGTAACAAGCTAAGGTTCCAGGTTGTTCCCACTCCATTAGAGTGCACACACCCTGCCTGATCCCAGCTTTTCTGAACATGTGACCATGTGGTCTTTCTTCATCCCCTCTCAGCCCCTAGTCAGGTCAAATTCAAAGCTGCTCAGAACATAGCAGCTAGGGAAGGGTGTTGAACCTCTAGTACACCCTGAAGGACTGGGCTTCCCTGGAGTCTGAGCTCTTGGACCAGGTGATGTCTGGCAGTCCTGTGAGGACAGACAGAAAAGCAGAGTAGGGTCTAACACTTCACTGGGTTAGCACTTTATTGGAGTACAACTTACACAGAGCTCCTCATCCACAGGGCCTCTTGTCTACTGGTCAGCTGAACTACTAGCATAGAGCCCTACATCCCTGGTCCCTGCCCCAAAGGACCCATTTGTGGGTTAGGGACACCTTCTTCATCTAGAAATAGCCTAAGCAGCAGCAAGAAGCCTTCTTCTCAGACTTTAGGGACAGTAAACATCCCTGGCTTCTCCTGCATTAACCAGATCAAATGTACAGGGCCTGCTTCCCAAACAGACTGAGACCAGCTTATGTCCTGGGCAGGCCCCTTCCCAAGGTGGGGCCTGGGACATCAAGTAAAAGTGTTCACAGGTCCCTTTCTCTAGAGCTGGACACTCATGGTGACTTTCTGGCAGGAGTTCCAGGAGAAGAGCTATAGTAGACACAGAGGCCAGCTCCAGACTCCAGCCTTCTCCACTCACCCCTCCCAGAGGCCAGGGTCCACAAAGGAATGGGGTTTGGGACAGGGCCCCAGGGGTTGGATGCTCCCAATTTGAGTGCAGGAGGTGCTTTGCAGGTGCTGTGGGCCTCTTGGGTTGGGCCCAGGGGCCCTAGGAATGGCCCCTGCCCTGGTGTGCAGCTCATCTCTCTGGCAACAACAGGAAGAACGCAGCCTTCAGGAAGCGGCCAAGACTGCAGAGTGTGGCCACAAGCCAGTGGGAGCGGAAGCCAGGGTCTGTGCTGACCACACACTTGAGGACATCCGTCTGGGAGATAAAAGAGACAGTTAACAAAGCCAGGCACCTGAGGCCCCTGTACCTTACACTAGAAAAAAGTCTTCCAAATCACAAAGGGAACATACAAAGAAAGCTGTTTGAGAAAGGAGGTTATGGTCTATCTGAACCAAAACTTGAGCAAGACACCTGAGCGTTAGATGGGGAAAGGTCTCAAGTCTGACATCTTTGCCTACCCATTTTATAGGTGAAAACAGAGGCTTCTGGGTGGAGCCTATCATCCATGCCCAGAACCTAAAAAGCATCTTTGGTTTGGTCAATCATGTAGGCAGTCAGGCATAGAGACTGGGAGGGTCTGATCCTGACACCCCACCTCCAGGTCTTGCTTCTTGAGAATGCAGAAAAGTGAGGCTCCTAAGAGGGAAGTGAGGGTGCTTTGGGCAGTACTGATGGGCCTACCCATGTTGGCTTTGTTCTGCCAAGCGTCACCGTGGGGCAGCAGGGAGACAAGAGTTCATGGTCAGGAAGCATGTCAGTGCAGGCACAGAAGAGCCAGCCACCTGCCTGTCTCAGAGCAACCCTGAGTCCTGCAGCCCTTGCCCGCTGCCCTGCCTTCCACCCCACTCCATCCTTCTGTTCTCACACCCTTGTGCTTACAGCACACCCCTCTTCCAGGACCCCTACCCCACAGCCCTGCTGATGCTCAGACTCACCCATCCACCACGCCTCCGAAGCCAGGTCGCCAGGGTCTTTCGCACAAACTCCCCCAAGCAGTCAACCAGCGCATGAACCATGGCAGGCTGAGCCTGCCGAACACAGTCCACTGCTAGGCCCGCAGCCACTGAGTACAGGGACACTACCTTGCCCCATGTGATGCCTATAGAGAGAAAGTTGCTGATCAGACCAGACCCAAGCTGGTGTCTGGCCCAAAGAGGACCATGAAGAGCTGAGCTTCTCTGACCTACTTTCCTGCCTATCATCCACTGGTGACCAGCAATGACAACAGAGATGGGTGGCCCTGCCTGCAGGCCACCACTACAGGGCACTTGGCGACGTACTATACTGATGCAACTTGACCATCTCCAGCCTGTCAGATTTTCCCTCTCAGGCAGTTCTTAGGTAGATGGAAGTTGCCTCTAATAGATACCTGCTGGAGGCAAGGATGAGACAGCCTTACCCACACCTGATAGAGGTGTCCACAGGAAAGCAGTGCAGCTCAGCACAGAGGAGCCAGACTGACTCAGAACTGGACAAGGAGAACAGCAGGCAACGTCAAGGGTGTGTCCAACTCTGTTTAGTCTGCTACTCTGAACCTTGATATCACGGCAGTAGGTCAGGGGCTACCCACACTTGAATTAAGGTAGATGAACAGTAATGTGGGGGGTATTACATGCAGCACCTTAACATATAAGGATTTAGGGGTTGGGGAGATGGTCCAGTAGTTAGTCTATGCAAGCCTGAGACACCAGCATTCAAATCTCCAGAACCCAGAAAGCTGGTTGGGCATGGTAGCCCACCTCCCAGTTCCAACCTTGGAAGGCAGAGACAGGATCCTTAGAACAAGCTGGTTAGCAAGACTAGCCAAATCAACAAGTTCTGGATATGACTGAGAAATCCCGCCTCAATAAATTAGAAGAGTTATTGAGGACAATATCCAAAATCAAACTTGGGCCTCCATGTGGACATGTACACATATGTGCCCATAGACATGCAAAATGTACATACACACATGACAATAGGAAAAAATGCAGAAATGTATTCTTTCCTACCAGTACTGCCTTTTTAAAGAGCAATAAGGCCTTGCCTGGTATAATCATAACACTTGAGGCAGAAGCAGAAGCAGAAAGAGTTCAATTCAGGACAGACTGCAATACATACATTCCTTTTTTTTTTAATACATACATTCTTATGTCAAGATGGGGAGCAGGAGAAATGGCTCAGCAGTTAAAGAGCACATATTGCTCTTCCAGAGGACCAAGTTCTGTTCCCAAGGCCTACAATAAGGAGCTCACAAGTGTCTGTGCCTCCCGCTCCAAGGAGATCTGTGATGCCTCTGACCTACAAAGATACCTGAACACACACACACATCCACCACAAGTACAAACACATAGATGTAATTAAAAATAAAATAAATCTTTTAAGCCAAGCTGTGGTAGTTCATGCCTTTAATCCCAGCACTCAAGAGGCAGAGGCAGTTGGATCTCTGTGAGTTCAAGGCCAGACTGATCTACAGAGCAAGTTCCAGGACAGAAACCAAAAAACACACACAAAATATATTTTGTGTGTGTTTTTAAAAAGAAGGGTAGGTGTGGTATTATAGTCCTGTAATCTAGTTTAAGGAAGCTGAGGCAAGAGGTCCTGAGATTGACAGAGCCAAAAAGAAAGTTCACATAATACATTAAGCACATAAAAAAAAAAAAAAAAAAACCTGTTTCCTTCCTCTAGTTAACAGCACAAGATAAATTATAACAAGATATAGTTGTGGCCCACTGTGTTAAAAGCCTTAAGGGTTGGAATAAAGTGTTTGCTATGCAAGCTTGAGGACCAGCACCCATATAAAAAGCTAGGCATGCTGGCATGTATCTGTAATCTCAGTGCTGGCATCAAAGCAGCACTGGGGCAGGATCTGTAGGGCTTACTAGCCAGCCAGTCTAGCCATCAGTGACCTCTAAGTTCAGCAAGAGATTGTCTCAAAAAACAATTGGAAGAAGCTACTAAAGAAGATACTCATCATTAACCTCTGACCTACACATGTATGCACACACACACACACTCACTTGTGAAGATGAGATAAGGGTTAAAGTAACTGCTGTTCTCAGCTTTGCTGGGGAAGATAATTGGAGAGTGTTTGACAAGAGCTAAAAAGCATGCCCAGCCAGCCATAGGCCCTGTGAGGTGTTAACCTAAGAAGCAGCATTTACAGACTGTGAAATGCCCCTCACCCTGCCTCCATGCAGCATTGAGAATAACCTCTTACAATGCATGAAGCAGCGCACAGATGTTCACCAGAGTACCATTCACAACAGCCAACAAGGAAAATTGAAATGCTTGTTAAGCCAACTTCAGGGAGTGTGTGGCTGCCTTATTATACAGCTAGTAACGCAGTGAAGTTCTGATGAATGCCACAACATGGCAAGGGGAAGGATAAACATAAAAGGGCACAATTCCAGTCCCACCTACAGGAAATACAGGGCAGGCATACCCACAGAGACAAAACATGCAGGGAGGCCGGGGGGTGAGGGACAGGGAGAGCCTGCTGATAGGTGGGTAGGTCCTCAGGATTGGGACAAACAGCATGCTGAATGTGCTAAATGCCACCGATGCTGACATTTAATGTGGCTAAATGTACAGTTTAAATGAACATCTTATCAGTTCAGGAGAATTCCCATAGCCACCCCCACCCCAACTTGTATGCATGGCACCTCAATAAAAAAAGAGTAGGAGAGCCGGGCAGTGGTGAGACCTGCCTTTAATCCCAGCACTCAGGAAGCAGAGGCAGGCCTATATCTGTGAGTTCCAGCCGAGTAGAGAGCAGAGGAAGATGCTGTGCAGGAGCATGCCTTGGGGAGCTCCTGCTTCCCTTACGTCCGCAAGCACATGCAAACTATAATTATAGACTGTCTAACTATAAACATGCAACTTTCTAATTCTGGAACATTTTAAAGATTTGGTGGGGGTGGTATTGTTTTTTGAGACAGGGCCTTTCCATTATATAGCCCTGGCTGTCCTGGAACTCACTATGTAGACTTGGCTGCCCTCAAACTCAGACATCCGCTGCTTCTGCCTCCAGAGAGCTGGGATTTACAGCTATGTGTGGCCACACCCAGCCTGATTTATATATTTTCAATATGTATGAGTATTTTGTCTGCACATATGTCTGTGCACCACATATAAACAGTGCCCAAGAAGACCAGAAAAGGGCTCAGATCGCCTAGAACTGGATAGAACTAGAGTTACAGCTGGTTGTAAGCTGCCATGTGGGTGCTGGGAATTGAACATGGGGCCTCTGGTGTTCTTAACTGTTGAGCCATCTCTGCAGCCCTTCTAATTCCAGAACATCTAAGTACTCCAGGAGAATTCCCATAGCCACCCAACCTCAACTTGTAGTCTGCACATTTCAAAAACATGGCATTTGTGTCCGGCACATGTAAGCTCATCTGCAGTACACAGCCTCCCTCCTCTTTGTAGCTGACTAGTTCCACATCCGATGCCAGCCAATAGACACATGCCTGTATAATGCTGTTGGGAGTACACACCGCCTGGCTTCTCCTGTATTTTATCTCTCTTACGTTTACACTTAGTTGCAGTTGGGCAGGTCATATGGAAAGGCCATGCTTTACCATTGGAGGACCTGCTGGGCTGGTGGCTAGCACTCCACAATGGCCACACTTCACATGTGTTCCCCACACCCTCGTCAACACCGTGGATGTCTGGCCACCCCAGTAAGCATGAAGCTGTTCTGGCGCACACACAGTGATTGATGATGTTGAACATCTCGTGCTTGTTTGTAAAGTCTGCCGGTGCTTCCTGGCCTCCAGTGAGTTGTGACCACCCTGCATTCCCATGGCCTGCATCCCCACCTCCTCCCTGCAGCGTGGAGACAGACACTCAAGCGGCCACCCATGGCTGGCGTCAGCTGGAAAGGGCTCTGTCCCTGAGAAGGATCACCCAAAGCAAGTGCCTCTCTGGGCAGACTCCACGCTCAGGGTGGACTTGCACGGGGCAGGGTAGAAATGGGGTAAGGTTACTCCGACCTCTCCCCAGCTCACACTCACTACCACCCAAGGCTTCAGTCCCTTTTTCATGCTCACACCTACCACTGAGACCCAACCCCTCCCCTGGGCTCAACGAAGACATCAGTGGGCCAGATCTGTGGTCTCAGAAGCAAAGTTCCTTATAAATCCAGCCATCCATGGCTCGTAAACTGGCCTGCTTGACAGCTTGGAAACAGATACCCAAGCAGCCACCCCTGGATGGCGTCAGCTGGAAACCTCCAGAGAGGGCAAGGGTGGTCCTCCACCCAAATCTCTGGGCTGCTGGCTTCCTTTTTGAGCCCACCCACTGCCATTCCCACCAGGGGCCTCCAGGTGACCCTCCAGGAAGGGACAGGAGCTTGCTCATTAATTCCTCCTTCAGTTTCCCTCACCCCCACGCCACAGCCCTTCTCCACCTCTCCCGCTCCACCACCCACACACTCACCTACTTTTCCCACAGCCCAGCCCCTTGCCTTGCATTTTTCAGTACAAGAGTCACATTAGCTGACCCTGGTCTGCCATGTGATGCTCCTGAGGCTTGCCTGGGCCTCCCACTCCCAGACAGAGATCACATGGACCTGGAGTAAGTGATTCACATGAACGAGCTATCTAGCGGGGTTCCTAGAAAAGAGCATGGAAAGGGAGGGTTTGGGGAGAAGAGTGTTTCAGCCTCCTGTATGTCTAGGGCAGCGAATAGAAGTGAACTTGTGCCTGCAGGAGCTGAGAGGTGGGTTAGCACTCCCTCCTGAAGCAAAGATGGAAGCACCTGGGAGAGCCACAGGGGAACGTGGCCACACTTGTCCACACCAGGGTCTCTGTTCTCCTAAAGTGCCTATGACCAACACAGTCACAGACTGTTCTGGATGCTCATATTTTTAACTGCCCCATAGGGATCTAGCGTTGGAAATTCAAGTATCATGGTCACTAGAAGGCCAGGATATGCTGCTGCAGTCCACAGGGCCACTGCCCTGCAGGGCACCGCAGCCCCAGGCGGTGCTGGACCACCATCAAAGGGCAGAATTGTGTCAACAGCCCTCAGAATGACCGGCAGCAGGACCAGTGGGATGGCTCAGAAGATAAAGTCATCTACAGCCAAGCCTGAAGACTTGAGTTCAACCTCAGGGACCCAAAAAAGGAGAGCGCCAACCCCCAAAAGTTGCCCTCTGAACTCTATGTGCTGTGGTTGAGCATGTGAGCATGCACACACACCAAATAAAACTGTAATAAAAACAGCCAGGTATGGTGGTACACAGCTTTAGTCCCAGTACTCAGGAGGCAGAGGAAGGCTGATCTCTGAGTTCGAGGCCAGCCTGATCTACAGAGTAAGTTCTGGGAAGCCAGGGCTACACAGAGAAGCCCTTCCTCAATGAATGAATGAATGAATGAATGAATGAGAACAAAATACCCAGCAGCACCTTGCAGCAGTGCTGTGTGAGCCAGCTCTTCACTGGGCTGGGCTTTACACACACAGTTCAGAACAGCCCCAAGTGCCAGGAGGCCTGTGTGATGGCAGTAACTTAGAACCCAGAGGGCTGTGTCAGAAGATCCCGAGAGTTTTCTATCCCTGCAAACCTGCCTGATCCACAGATGTTAAGTCCCTCCCAGAAGTGCCCTGGGTAAACAGGCCAGACCTACCTGCCGAGAAGATGTGGCCCGCCACAGCGAGGAAGGCATCCGTCACCACAGGCTCAGACTGTAGGGAGATGTGCAACTGCCGGGCCACATTTCGGTATACACTGGGCCGAATCTGCTCCAGCTCATCCCCTGCATGGGCACAAAGCAATTCAGGCGCTCTCACACCTTAGCCCTGTGGCCAGCACTGACCAAGACTCAATCCTGCACTTGATTGATCCACCTGACCTTACTTAACCTCCAAGCTAACACCTTCCCCTTCACTGGGCCCTGATCCCCACTTAACCTGTTTGACTCCCACCCCTTATTCACCTTATCTTACTCCATTTGACTCTCCCAACCTTGGCCCCATGAACAAAGAGACTTAGGGAGGCTGTGGAACCTCCAAGCCCCCTAGGGCAAGCTGGCTGGGCCAGTGAGGCAGGAATCCTACAGTGGAGCATGAGTTGTGCCTGCTCAGTGACTCACAGCAGGCAGGCAGCCAGTGGATGGACTGAGCAGTATACAGGGGCCAGGCAGGCAGGAAGAATCCAATATAAAGAGGAGCTTGGCTGGAAGACCACATATATGTGCTCACCCCCTGCTGCCTCACAAGATGATGCTGGCTTAGGTGCTAGCATCACTGGTAATGGCTCAGAAAACGGACTTGGAGAGGCTGAGCCATGGGCCTGGCACACTATCATCCACATGCCAACCTGGGCTCCTGGTGCCAAATGGGTGTGTTTTTCGTGTGGTACTACATGAGCCCAGCCATGGCTGTGCCAAGAAGATGCCTTCCACAGTCCCACCTGCCCCCTGGGCTACACTGCCCTTGGCAGCATCATGCATGCACAGGGAAAGAGGATGCCGGGAATTCCATGCAGCCTCTGATTGGGTGTCCCAGGCCCAGCCACTTCCCCAGCCAAAGCAAATAGGGAAATGCTGCTGCTGCCTAGCGATAAGGACGCCCACGTCATCCCTGAGGCCAGCTGTGCTCTATCTAATTAATTAAGATCTGGAACCAGAGCAGAATCGGGAGGAGGGCCAAGGGATGAAGAGATGGCATGGAAATTCCCAAGACTGGCCTGGCTGTTGCCAAGGATAAACCCTGGGGGGGTCTCTGGAGACTGACCCCAGGAGACTGTTCAGGGACATAAGATATACTGCTTCCCATTTGTGGCTGGGCCCATGCTGGGGGTCAGGGAGATACTGCTAACCTTAGAATTCACCCTGAACAGTAATGACAGCACCAAGCATAATCTGAACAGGAACACTTTGGGATTCAGGGTCTCTCTCCAGGAATCCCCTTAGCTGTCTAGAAGGGTCTAAACTGCAGAGTGTAGGAACAGGACTGGGTGATGGAAAAAGACCCTAAAGTTCTTGAAGACTCAGAGGACTACTGCTGAGTGCAAGGCTTTGCACCTGCTTCTTTCCATAGGTCAGTGTTCAAGCCTCTCAGGACCTGCAAAATGGACTGTGAGGCCAGAAGTTGAGTGGGTAAGACCCAAGGCAGGACTTCCTCCATGGCACCCAGGTGTCATGGGGATTCCCAGGAGGTCAAGATGTCCCCTTCTTCAGAGACAGCCAATGGTCTCCTTCTCTGATGAGTTTGCCCAGCCAAACCCCTTCACTCACTCTCTCCACAAACCCAGAGATAGCTCCCTTCCATCCATGCATAGCCCTCCTGGGAACCCAGCTCAGGCCAGATGGACAGTGCCCATCTCTCACTCCTAAGCAGGTCATGCCTACACAGCCCTGTTCGTTGAGGCTGGCCCAGCGCAAAGATGCAGGGCCTATACAACCGCATGTGTGCACACCGCATCTCTCAGGAAGGGTCCTACAGGCCCCTTCCAACCAGGAGAGTGCACACAGCTCTTTCTGACACCCATTCACACACACACACACAGCCCTTTTTTTTAAATCTCTGCTATTACTCCAGCATCTGGCTGCGGTAAGGTGAACTGTCCAGGATCAAGGTTTGCCTACCCTTCCCCAACACATGCCCAGGCCTTAGAGGAGCTAAAGAGATCTACGGAGCTAGCAATGTGTGACCCCAAAAACAAGTGTCCCAGGCGCCCTTCAAAGAGGCCCCGGGGAGGGGGCTTCCCATCAAGGGAAACTAGAGTAGGTGTCGGACCTCAGCCAATAACCGAAAAACTGAAAGGCCTTTTTTGCCAAAACAAACATTGGGACATGTGGTCCCACAAAGGATTTTTTAGTCCAGCAGAGTACAAGGGTCACAATAAAGTTTAGTTGTAAAAATATTACTCTTCAGAGCTTTCTGTGGTTTGTGGCAAGAATGTCTGCGATCTGGGCTAAGCAGGCACGGCACGGGAGAGGTGGGAGAGTGGGGGTTGGGGTGGGGGGGAACCTGAGACAAAGGAGCCAGCAAGCAGGCAAGCCTGGGGATGAACAGAGAAGCACCAACCTGGGTGGCCAATCCTTGCACACTCTCCATTCCAGACGGATCCCGGCTCCCACACACGCCTCCTCTTTACCCCACAGGGAGGGTGCGGCAAAGCCGCAGAGGGGCTGGACTTGTCCCCAGAAGGGCATGTCAGTAGAACAGCTGTACCCGGAACCCGAAACACAGCAGGCAGGACCATTAACTAGCTATGGGGCAGCCTGGGATGGTACCTGCTAGTGCCCCATACTCACCCAAGCGTAGCAGCACGGTGCACACCTCCGCCAGGCGTCCTCCAGGAGCCGGTGAAGCACGCTCTGGTGCGCTCCAGGAGAGGCCCGCGCGCAAAAGCCGCGCGTGCACGTACTCCCGGCCTAGTGCCTTGGCCTGGGCCACCAGCTCCTTGTCTGTAGGCGAACGATCAAAGGCATCCATGATCTCCGCAGCAAAGACAGAAGAGCGCCGCAACACCTCCATGGCCGAAGCGCAGGCGAGAGGCGCCACACCTACGAATAGACAGAGCTCAGCCGGATCGCCTCCAGCCAAGTGGCGAAGCGACTCCCGCCACGCCAGGAGACCTGGAGGCGCGGCGCGAGTCACAGCGGTCCCCACCGCGTGCCTGATGCTGACAGAAACCTCACAGGAGGTCGGATGGGCGCCGCCAGGCGCCGCCGGCTTCTGACAGCCTCTCGTTTTGCACCCCAAGCTTTTTAAAGTACAGTGTCACGGATTTTAGGTTCTAAATTAAATCACGCAGTTCCCGGCGGTGGCCATCGGTTGGAACCACCGCGGGGAAATGGCGATAGGTTCTGTGGTCACAGCGCCTTGGACCAGTTTGGGGGCGACGGAGGATGCAGGGTAACCTGCTGCGACCAGGCGACAAGCAGGACCCTCGCGGGCTCCTCCTGGTCGGCAAGTCAGACGCTAAGGAAGGCTCCCCAACAGCTCGGCTGACTCTAGGCTCCGAGGCCACGCACCTGCGCACCTCACAGAGCCGATGTTTGCCCCGGGTGTCACCGTTCCCATGGTGCTACATCCAGGGGACCGACGCCACGCCCGTCCGACTCACCTCTCCGGCCGCATGGCGCGCGGGGCGGCGGTGGAGTTGTGGTTTCAGGACCCGCTGGCCCCTGTCCCCACCGATCTAGATCCTTCCATTCAAAACGGCGAGCGCGAGCCCCGCCCCAGCGCCCGCCCCGTCCACGCCCGAGCTGAAGCTCTGGCTCCGCCGGTCTTCCCGCGCTCGCACAATTCCCGGTCTGGAAGGGTGCGGGAGGCGAACCGCGGACTCCCTGCGGCGAGAGGCCAGGCCTAGGGCTTCGCCTTCTAAGGAAACGGCAACCCCCGGGGGCGGAGCCGCAGCCCAGCTCTGCCCAACGCCTCCCCGGCTTGAGCAAGGCCAACACAAGTTCTCGGGATGCGCCCGGGAACGCCGCCAGGCTGGAGCTGTCCCGGCAGGCAGCGCGAAGAACAACCAGCTCTGACACCAACCCACTGGGGCTCACTGAGTTCCATTTTAGAACCAGCTGACTTATTCTTTCCTTACTGCCTTGGAGAGGTTCTGGATTCCTGCAGCTCTAGGGAATCTGACGCCCCCTTCTGACTTCCGAGGGCACCTGGCATGCATGTGGTGCACAGACATGGATGCAGGCAAACATTCATACACACAACAAAAGTAAAAATAAGTGAATATTTAAATATAGATTCTGGATTCTTAGCTTAGTAGAAGCCTTCGGAATGTGGTAGAGACTTGGATTTGTGCTTGTTTCAAGACACTGAAAATACCCCCCCCCCCCGTGCCCACTCTGGTCTGGATTTGCTCTTAATGAGATGGAGTTATTTACATCAAGGCCAACATATAAACTTTTGTAGTCAGTGATCTCTCATTAGGATATTTTTCCTTTGAGAGATAAAGAGGAAGGGGGGAGGGAGAGGGGAGAAAGGAAAGGGGAGGAAGAGGAAGACAGACTTACACAGTGAGAGAAAGGAACTCTGGGTTGACCAACTGGTCCAATTTGTAGGGATCATCCTGCCCTACAAGGGTTCATATTTATACCTACGATGGATCAAAAACGTTGTGAACTATTGGGGGTTGGTCTGGTGCTCTGTGTATTCAGATGTTGACCTCTGTGCCCTGAGATCTGGTTGCAGTTTTGAAATGGGCATTGTTATGTAATGTTGTGTAAACTTTGCTCCCCAATTAGCTCTGATTGGTTAATAAAGTTGTTGACAGTTGATTACTGGGCAGAGAGAGGTAGGTGGAACTTCCTTTCCCCATCTTAGGATCTCAGGTAGGGAACACGAGGAGAGGGAAGAAAGAAGAGGGGGAGAAAGGATGGGGTGAGAAACACTGACCTGATGGAGCAGAAACAGCCTAAGCAGGACAAATATGGCAAGTAACTTGGGGCACACGGCTGGGAAATAGCAAGACAAGCATAAAGAATTATTATAAATGGATTATCTGCCCAGTTATTGAGCCTAAACCTTATTAAGAAATGTCTGTCTTGTTTATTTGGAATTTAGAACAGGTGATTATATATATATATATATATATATTTACATATATATATATCCAATCATTACAGCAGTGTGGTAGTTATCAGGGCTCCCTTTTTCCATATGGATTTCCAAGAAAGTCAACATCATCTACTAGACTCTTTTTTTCCTTCCTTTTTTGACCCAACTGCACAATTGTAACAACAGGATTTGCTAATTCGACCTATCATCTAAGTACAACATTTAACCTAGAGCTATAAAATACATAATCTCTACAGACACACACAGACACACACAAAAGCAGACTACACCTGGAACCGTAAGCAAGTGTCAACAAATTTCAGAGAACTAATATCATACAGTGATTATTCTCTGAATTAAATTAAAGCTAACTTACCGAAAAACTGGAAGTCTCCAAATGCTTGAAGAAGAAACACCAGACTTACAGTGAGGCAATAAATAACAAATCACAATGAAGGGTTTTGTTTGTTTGTTTGTTTTAGTTCAAGATTTTTGTTTTATTATTATTTTATTATTATTATTATTATTAGTTATATTTTATTAACTCTGTATCCCAGCTGTATCCCGCTCCTTTATTCCCTCCCTCAGCTCCTCCCTGCCCCTTTCCAAGTCCACGGATTGGGGAGGCACAATGAAGTTTTAAAAGGATTTATCTATGTGTTTTGTGTATATGGGTGTTTTGTCTGCTGTAAGTCTTCACACAAGAGAAGGCATTGGGTCCCACAGGACCACAGTTATAAGTGGTTGTGAGCTACCATGTGGATGCTAGGAAGAGAACTCAGGACCTCTGAAAGAGCAGCCAGTGCTTTTAACCACTGAACCATGCCTCCAGCCCTATAATGGAAATATTTTCAAGTGAACAATTGTAAAAACGGTATACAGATTCCCAAGTAAAGCCCAGTATCATCATGCACATGTTTGTAATCCCAGTGCTATCAGGGGCAAAGAAGATGAGATCCCTGGAGCTTTCAGGGCATGAACCTAGCTCAAGTCTCACTGAGAGAGCTGTCTTAGGAAACAATGTGGAAAAGTATTAAGAGAATAAGAGGGACCCTTCAGGTGTCCAGGAAGCGAATTTCAAAGAGATGGGAATGAAAACCTGGTTCAGACTGACTTCATCAACCTGAATCAAACTTGGGGAGTCTGATATCAGGTGTTTTATTCCCCACAAATTTAAACACAGTATAACTGGGGAGGGGAAGCTGATACAATCCCTGTTGCACAAAGAAGCATAATTACATTGAAACTCAAATCAGTGTATGTGTCATTTCTTCCAAAGAGATGGGTTCTAGAGAGAAGCTCCCTGTTCTAGTGTAAGGGCCTAGGGAAGCCTCTGGCCTGGTCTCAGTCACACAGACAGCACAGAGGTCATTTGGGCTATTAGCCATCTCAAGTCCTTGTTGTAGGAGCTTAATATGGCCTGGCCCGACAGGTAATGCAGATCACCAGGCTATTAATCACTTCCAATGCCAATTCAAATCCAGCTGTCTGGATGGAAGAATTGGTTTTTCATTTTTCCCATTAGAAAAATATGCATACTTGACATTCCTGGTGTCTCTGGAGATCTGTGGACACAGGAACTTTGTGCTATGCTCTCAACAAGATAAGGAAGGACACCGGAAGTCTTCCTCTGGCCTGAATACTGAATACTGAGGTGATTAAGTGTACCCACGCACATATCACACTCACATACACTCACACACACACACACACACACACACACACAAAATACATTTAATTTAGAAAAAGAAAGAAGAAAGCAGTATATACAGCTATATAGTAATTTCAATTTTTAAACAAAACTCAGTTTACCAAAATTGACACTGGAAAAAAAGAAAATCTGAACAGTCCAACACCAATGAAATATATTGTTTGTAAGAATATTCCCATACTATTTTAGCTTTTCTATCATTGTTAGGAGACACCGTGATCAAGGCAACCTAGGAAGGAAAGCATTTAATTGGGGGTTTTCTTACAGTTTTAGAGAGTGAACCCATGACCGTTATGGTAGGGAACAGGAAACAAGCAGGCAGAAATAGCCTGGAGCAATAACTGAGAGGCTACTTCTGATCCACAAGCAGGAGACAGAGAGAGCCTGCAGCAGGTATGGACTTTTGAAACCTCAAATCCCACCCCCAGTGACACACCTCCTCCAGGAAGACCGCACACCTCCCAATCCTTCCCAAATAACTCTACTACTAAAGACCAAGCATTCAAATACATAAACCTTTAGGTCATTCTCATTCAAACTACCACACGTATTGACATTTTGTGTTTTGTACAGTTTGTTGAATTGAGAAAATATCATTAACCTTACACAGGTCTATCCAAAAATTTTAAGATGACGAAATATTTCTCAAATCATTTTGTAAAAACAATCTAACATCGATATCCAAACCTGTCCAGCACATTGCGAGAAGAGTGAAAGAGAGCCTGCAGTGATGGCTCAGTGGTAGGAGTTTGTACTCTTCTTGCAAGGGGCTCAGGGATGAGCAGCTTACAATTGCCTGCAACTGCAGAGGGGTCTAAAGCCTTTGGCTTCCCAAGGTACTTGCATGCAGAGGCACCTACTCCACAAAGACACCCACCCATACAGGTTTTGTTGTTGTTGTTGTTTGTTTGTTTTCTGTTTTGTTTGGTTTTATTTGGCTTATTTTTTAGAGACAGGGTTTCTATGTGTAGCCTTGGCTGTCCTGGACTCACTTTGTAGACCAGGCTAGCCTCAAACTCACAGAGATTCGCCTGCCTCTGCCTCCCAGAATGCTGGGATTTGGCACCACACCTGGCTAAATAAATCATTTTAAAAGAAAGTTGGGGGCCAAGTATAGTGGCAAATGCCTTTAATTCCTAATACTCAAGAAGCAGGAAGATCTCAATGAACATTTTTTTTATGTGTGGGGTTTTTTTCTGCATGTATATCTGTGCACCATGTGGATTCCGCCTGCCAGTGGAGGCCAGAAGACAAAGACATTATTAGATTTACAGGAACTGGAATTGCAGAAAGTTATGAGCCACAGTCATGTGGATGCTGGGACTTGAACCCTGGTGCTCTCCAGCCCTTTAGTGAACTCTATAGTGCAGAGTTGAGCACCGTGGTATTGAATTTGTGAAGAACACTCAAGTTTGGGATTCCTATTGTGTACAGATAGAAATACAGAAGTTCAACAAGGGAAAAAGGCTGACCCAAAGTACAGATGAGGAAGGGCAGTAGGCAGTCCTGAACTTGGAGCTTGACTCTACGTCCTTTGGGAATTACTTCTGGCAACAGAAGAGCTGACGCCTTGCAAGCCTAAAACTGTTCTCACACCTGTTTCCTTCCTTGCCCTGTGCAGCCTCAGGCCCTTCCGGCCCCACTTGGTCTGTTTTCTTCTATATAAAATGAGACCATGTTTCTCCCACTTCCTGTCTCCTGTTGAAATGAAGCCTGGCTCCTGGCTACACAGCAGCAGGGGTGAGTCACTGGGCAGAGCTGATGACTGTCTTTCAGCCCAAGAGTGCAGAAAACAAGTCAAAAGCCAAACCGCCCCTGGGTGTGGCAGATTATACCTCTAATTCTAGCACTCTGGAGGCTGCATAGTGAATTCTAAGCTACCCTAGGCTACACAGGGAGACCTTGTCTCAAACACACACACACAAACAAAGGCAAGCATGGTGGTACACGCCCTTGATCCCAAAACTTGGGAGGCAGAAGCAGGTGATCTCTGAAAGTTTGATGCAGAGAAGAAAGTTGTGCTACCAGGACCTCCTCCTTGGGTGGTCTGTGTCATCACATACTCCAAGCTTGATACCTCCTGCTCACCTCAGGATGCTGGTTAACTACAAGCAGGACAGGGCTAGACTTGAAGTCCCAAATCCTTATTGGGCCAAGCTTC